ATTGGCTATTTTGTTGTTGGATGCACAAAGGCTTATGATTCCAGAGAAGAAGAAGAAGAAGAACAGATCAACCTTCTTCTCTCTCTTTTATTTCTACGACAAGAGATTCTGATTTGGAGGTTTAGATTTCGAATGGAGAGCTTTAGAAAAGCATATGGAGCACTTAAAGATTCAACCAAGGTTGGCCTAGCCAAGGTCAACAGCGATTTTAAGGTCTGCATATGAAGAAAAAAAAAAGTTTCTCCTTTAATATGTGTAATTAATGCACATTTGTTGATGGATGGAATTCTATTTTTGGTTTTGATTAAGGATTTGGATATCGCTATTGTAAAGGCAACAAACCACGTTGAAAGCCCTCCAAAAGAAAGGCATGTTGCAAGTGAGTTTGTAGATTAATTTTTGTTCTTTTGATTGTTTAAGTATATACATGAATTTCATCGACGGGCTATATTCTATATCTGCTAGGTTACTAATTGATTGAGGTTATGCTACATTAACCTCAATGTACCAGAATGCTACATTAATTTGGTTTCTCACATTTCAAGTCTTTGTTTTAGTTTTTTTATTATATATTTTGTGGTATTGTAGAATGGTATCTAGTATATCCTGTTCAGACAGTCAGATGCTGTTGCAATTTGAATGAGGCTTCAGTTGTGGCCCAAACCAATTTGTAATAGACTGAAATAATAATTGTAGCTTTTTTTCTTTTCATCAATTCTGGATGTTCATTTAGATTGTTTTCCTTAGTGATATTTGCTGCAACATCGGTTACACGTCCACGAGCAGACGTTGCCTACTGCATTCATGCACTGTCTAGACGATTGGCAAAGACACGCAACTGGATAGTAAGTCTTCTGACCCAATTTAATCATTTGGTAGTTTTACTTTCTTTTTCAATATTTGAATAACTTCTAGCCGATTCTGATTGCTACAATTATTGAACACGTAATTTGCTTGGCAGAGAGTGTATTTTTGCTACAAATCATATTATCCTAAAAGTAGGAAACTCCTATCTTCAAAGTTCGTTTACAATAATACCCTTTAAAATCTGAGTTACCATTTTGTCCTTAAAGAAAAATAATAAACCTTCAATTAATTAATTTTTTATTTTATTTTAGAAGTTAGCCGAATGAATCAAGTAGTTGTTTAATGCTCCAGACAATCAATTCAATGAATCTAATTAGGCTGAAGGCATTCATATTGCGTCTCAGCTGTAATATTTCTTAATTATTGTTCAGTTATATTTCAATTAAGTTTTTTTCATCTTCCACAGTAGTAAAGCAAGCTGCAAGCTATAACTTTTCTTAATTATTACTCAGAAGTACATTTCAGTTTTGGCTCTTTATCTTCCACACGAAAGTAAAAATATTTTTGCAGTAACAATTTTTATTTCATTCTATAAAAATGCATATCAATTTTCTAAGCATTGTATCACATTTCTCTTGTTTTTGTCAAGAAAATCTGTTTTCCCCAAAAGAGCCATTGATTTTTCCACTTCATTTACACTTCACTCTGAAATAGATTACATGTTTACTTTTGATTTTTTTCGTTGTTTCTCTGTTTCACCATACAATAGGCCACATCTCTCTTTTCTGACTTCACTTTCGTGACTCCACATTTTCACAATTTCGGTTTCACTCTTCACATCATTCTGGATGTTGTATAACAAAGTGATGGATGGTAAACATTGGGGAAAAGATGTCATTTCTTATCTTTTCAACGTCACATTTTGCAAACTGTGAAATTTTATTAGTTTTCCTATAATAATAGAATATTTTTTTTGTGTCATTTATATTATGATTTGTGATCTCTTTTTAAACTCTTCGAAGATTTTATATCATTGTTTTGATTCTCCCATGACCAAAGGACAAAGGGTACATGTACACGATTTATATACATCAATTAAATCTTTCAGCAACTATTATGTCCATCACAAATAACTACTACCTACCGCTAAGTATAGGTGTACACAATGATTTACTCGCCATCCTAAGGAAGGCATATGTTGATGGAATTTTATATAGTTTTTACAATAATTATTTTCATTCAATAACAATTTCTTGATATGTATGCGGGAATAAAAAGTAGGAGGCAAAAGTCTCTTAAAAAGAAGGCTTCACATTTAAACTATGTGTTGTTGACATATAAAAAAATAATTAAGTTGAAAACTTGATATATTATAAGAACCGCATAATTTAAGTCGTTCCAACATTACTTTTCAAATTCATTCGACATTAATTTTTTAATATGATCGTGCTTGCAATGATAATAAAAATTTAGCACATACGCTCACCATATATTAATTTTGAGCTTGTATTTCCCCTCTTTAATTTCTGCAACTCATCACACACTGATATTCTTATAACATTTGTACGAATTAGTATGGGATACACGTGCGTCCAAAAACTAGTATCTTAAAAAAGTAAGAGGATTCTATTTCACACGGTGGCTTATTAATGATATTATTTCATGCAGTCAATTATTCTTTCACCTTTTTAATTTCAATGAATGATAAAATGTTTCAGGTTGCCCTAAAGACACTGATAGTTATTCACAGAGTTCTGAGAGAAGGTGATCCTACGTTTAAAGAGGAATTGCTGCACTTCTCTCACAGAGGGCATATTTTCCAAATATCGAACTTTAAAGATGACTCTAGTACACTTGGTAATTAAGCCCCTTTTTCCTTTTAACATCATCACTTTTCCTGTTTTGGAGCGTATAAGTATATTACATATTGTTGCTTATCACAGCTTGGGATTGCTCTGCCTGGGTAAGGACTTATGGACTCTTTCTGGAGGAAAGACTCGAGTGTTTTAGGACTTTGAAGTATGATATCGAGGCAGAGAGATTGACCAAAACTTCACCTGGAATTTCCAAGGTTTGTGTATTTTTGTTCCTTTTTTCTGCATGATTTGTTCGTTTCATATCGCATAATTTCAATTTGCATCAGGTGCATAGCAGAACAAGGCTCTTAAATGGTGAAGAACTATTAGAGCAGCTCCCAGCATTGCAGCAGCTTCTATATCGCTTGATCTGTTGCCAGGTGAGAATGGCCTAATGCTGATAGTCACTTGGTTGTTTAGGAAACTATGATGACTTCATTTTTTTTTCCATTTATACGTCCAATACTGCCATGTGATATTTTGATATCCGGACATCGTTTTTAATATCTTGTAAATTTGGCAGCCTGAAGGAGGAGCCTGTTACAATTTTCTTATTCAGTATGCCTTAGCACTGGTATGAGGGTTACAACTTTTACCAACTAAGAAATGGATTTCTTGTTTCTGATTATTAGTTTGTACACCTTTTTGAAGAAACTACATATTCTGCTTTACTCATTAATAGAACCAAAGTTTCTAAACACAAGACAATCCTTAGTTAACACTATATGGGCACTGACAATAGTAAGGCTGGTACGTAGTATTTGTCACTGCACCATAGAATGTTAAATAAGTCAACATAATAGCCCCGGTTGTACTCAATGCAGGTTTTGAAGGAGAGCTTCAAGATCTATTGTGCAATCAACGACGGGATTATTAACCTTGTTGATTTTGTGAGATCTTCTTTGCCTCTTTAAACTTCGATCCAGCTAATCTCTAATCTCATTGGAACATTAATTGGTCACTATCTCATATTTATGCAGTTTTTTGAAATGTCCAAGCATGATGCCATAAAAGCTCTCAACATATATAAAAGAGCAGGGAAACAGGTCTATAATTTCATTTCAATTGGATCTCTAAATGAGTAAGAATGTAGTAAAAATGTCTCCAATATGAATGAATATACGTGATGGCTAATCTAAAGTTATTTTTCTTCCGTTTCCTTCCTTAATGTAGGCTGAAAGTCTAGCTCATTTTTATGACTTCTGCAGAGGGCTGGATCTTGCTCGGACATTTCAGTTTCCCATTTTAAAACAGGTCTCTTCATTATAATTAAAACTTGAAAAGCAATTTCTCTTGAAGGTCGCACGATCTTTACGAATCAAGTTGTTTTTTAATTTGCTTCTTTTATGGTAATTTTACAGCCTCCTGTTTCCTTTCTGGCTACTATGGAGGAATACATACGAGAAGCACCACATACAGGTTCCATGTCAAGTAGGAGGCTGGTGAGAACTACACTTTTGAGCTATCTACATTCTCTTTTTAGGACCACATTGTTTTTTCCTTTTTGATCACAGAAGCAAACATAATTAAGATATTCAAAAGCTTATACTAGAATGACTTTGCCAATGCTTTCTCTGTTGGTATTCATCTTTGAACCTTTGCTCAAATGGTTCATGTCCATTGACAAGGAGTTTAGTAGGTATAAGTAAAAGAGAGAGTCCTAAGCTTTGAGAGAATTGAGATAAAGGTCACTATATAAACCAGTTTCATGTAAGAGAAACAGCCATTTTTAAGACCCCTCCCTAGATCGAAATCAACCCTCAAAACTACCAAACAAATCCCTGCAAAAAATCAAGCTATTCTGATTCATTCGTCTTTCATATTAAGGACTACAAGGAGGGCTTTTGTATGACATCTTTAGAGTGGAAGAGGAAATTTAGGAAAAAATAAAGTTGGAAGAATATAGAGTAAGACACATAAGACCGGTAGAAGAAAAGTTTGCAGCTGAAAATATCAGTCAATATCTACTACAAACATTTTCCTTCATTGTTATTCACTTCTCTTAGTCTTTAGATTAAGGCAGATATGTTCGCACTTCTTATGTAATGGTGGCCTCAATGGAGTTTGTCATTGTTGTCTAATAGGAGTATAGAGAAACTGAGCAAGAACCTGAAACGCCTAAAGAACCTGTCCCTGAAGAAAAGGAAGAGCAAGTTGAAGCAGCTGAAAATGGTAAAGAAGAACAGGTTGAAGCACAAGAGGAACCTCAGCCTGAAAAATTAGAAGAAACTCCACCGCTGAAATCAACTGAAGAGCCTGTTGATTTGCTGGTAAGCTTTTGTTGCTTCAGTCCCTTTTGGGGTTGTGCCTTACAGATAGGAAATTGCAGGGATCATCGAAGAGGACTCTCATAATCGCTTGTTTTATGCTGTTTTTTATCAAGGGTTTGAACCAATTGGATCCAAAAGTTGCAGAATTAGAGGAAAGCAACGCGTTGGCTCTTGCGATAATTCAACCTGGTAACTTATGTAACTTTTCTACTGCAAATAGGAAGATCCTATCGCAGTTTCAGCTCACCTATTGATTTGATGTATTAAAAATATCATACAGGTAAAGAAAATCCATCAGCGAATTATCAGTTGAGTGAAATAGGAAATACAACAGGATGGGAACTGGCTCTTGTTAATGCATCGAGCAACAATACGAGCCAAGTCACACCAGATAAAAAATTGGTATATTCCTTTCTCTAAAGCATGATCGTCCTTTTAAAAGACGAAGTTAAAAAAATTTCCTTTTTTGTTTTAAGATTTTGAGTCACATTTTTTACGCATTTCTTAAGAGATCAAGAATTCACAGTTCTGCGACATGTCCTAACCTCTGCATTGATTCCATGGAAATTTACATTATGGTGTATGTTGTATCAGGCTGGAGGATTCGACAAGTTATTACTTGACAGCTTATATGAAGATGATGTAGCTAGGAAGCAAATACAGCTGCAAAATGCTGGCTATAGTGGATACGGGCATGAAATCCTTGCACAGAATCCATTCAATCAACATGACCCCTTTGCCATGTCAAACAACATAGCACCTCCAACGAACGTACAAATGGCAATAATGTCGCAACAACAACAACAACAACAGCAAGTGATGCAACAGCAGCAATTCCGACAGCAAAATATGATGATGGTATCTCATAATCAATATCAAGGTCAATATCCTCAACAAATTCCATATATGGGGTCTGCAAACCCTTTCAGAGATCCCTTCGGCTATCAACACAACTCAATGCCACCACAGGGAAACCAGTCACTGCTTTAGAGTTCTTCAACAAGACTACACTGTATTCTTTCATTATTATCTTTATATAAGAAAAGCTGAATTGCTCCTATAGCTTTTCTTAATCATTGTGCTTTACTTGGCGGTGAAGTTGAGATGTCTATATATACTATGATCTCGCACATAGTATGTAAGGTTCTCCATTTAATTTTTTGGCCTTTATTATTGGAAACCCAGAAGCAATAAATAAAGATAAACAAAAGAGAGTTCGAGAGAGTAAAAGGATTTTAACCCTTTCGAAGGGTCACTAGCAGAAAAGCCATTTGAAAGCACTAGCGCTTACTAGAAGACACAATCAAACAAAATAAGATATCAACTAAAGATGGATATTTCATACCATCACAAAATCTAAATGCCACAAATGCGATGGAAATTGGAAGAATACAAGAGGAATAGATCGCATAAACTTAACAATTTATATATGTTCCTAAAGAGAAAATGATATTTAGAGCCCCTTTTAATGACCAAAATATTTCCCTTTTTGAAAAAGAAAGGCAAAACATATTCCTTTTGAAGATTTTAAGACCAGGAAATCCTTCCTTTCTATGCCTAGGCTTCACCAGAGGCTCTTCTCCTTCTTTTCTTTGTTTCTTTTCATGTTCTTTTTGTCTTTTTTATTTTTTTGTTTATTGTTGTTATTTTTTACACTTTATTATTTTCTTTCTAATAAAACTATGCACTCTTATTTATTTTTTGTGTAGTTATTTTCTCTTTTTATTTTTTTTTCTATGGCGACCCGATAGGTCGTTTTGAGTACTAGCCTTTATTTTCGTGTTCCGAGAAATCTCATAGCTTCATTTGATGTTTCTTGACTTGCGCGCATGGTCCGTATTTCTTTTCGAAAAGCTTTTACGTAAAATATTGAAGAAAATGATATTTTTTACTTAAAATGAGGCTAGAGTTGACCACAGTCAACATTTTTAGTCAACGACATCGGATCGGTGTTTTGACGATTCCAGTAGGTTCGTATGATATTTTTGGACTTGCACGCATATTTGATTGGGGTCCAGGATAACTCGAGCGCATTTCGACGTATTATGTGAAAGATTGTAAAAATTGAGTTTTCAAGTTGAAATCTTGAGTTTTGAGGATTGATTTTTGTTATTTGGTATTATTTTGATGATTTGAGGTAGCGAGTGAGCTTGTATGATGTTATTACACTTGTGTTCATATTCGGTTTGGAGCCCAAAGGGCTCGGGTGAGTATCAGATAAGTTCGGATAGTTTTAGAACTGTTGGTGCTGAGCAGTTGCTGGTGCAAGCCTGCAAATCTCGCATTTGTGAGGTCAGGCTCGCATTTGCGATTTTCGCTTTTGCGGTCATGTGATCACATTTGCGAAAGGCACTAGGACTAGGAAATTTTGCATTTGTGAAAAAGGGACCTCATTTGCGAAGGCTCGGGAATCGCAAATTCGGTTGGAATCTCGCATTTGCGACTCTGGCAACTTTGGGGTAGCTTCGCAAAAGTGAAGCTTAGTTTGCATTTGCGAAAGAAGGGACCTTCGCAAATGTGAAGGTTTTGTCACATTTGCTATTTCTATGCATCTAATGCACTGTTCGCATTTGTGACTGGTGTCTCGCATTTGCAAATAAGTGTTCGCAAATGCGACGTCTGCAGCTGGGTAACGGATTGGGAAATAAGTGTTCGCAAATGCGACGTCTAAGCTCTCTAGAGGCAATTTTTGAAGAACTTTTTCTTCCCAAATTCATTGGTAAGCATCTCTAATTACTTTCCAATTAATTTCAATTTCTTTTTCATAATCTTTTAACATCAAATCTACGAATTTTATGGTAGAAATTAGGGGTTTTGGGTAGAATTTAGGAATTTAATATAATTGAGATTTAGACCTTAAATTGAGGTCAGATTTAAAAATAAATCACATATCCGGGCTCGGGGGTGAATGGGTAATCGGGTTTTGGTCCAAAGCTCGAATTTTGACCAAGCGAACTCGAGGTTGACTTTTGTTGACTTTTTTTAAAAATGATCAAAATTGAACCTTTTTCATTCGTGGGCAGCTTCTAAAGCTTATTTTGAATTGTTTGGTTGATAATTGGCTAGATTCGGTTATTTGGAGGCTTGTTCGAAGGGCAAAGCCGTGATTGATTGTTGTTTTGGTTGCAGATTGAGGTAAGTGTCGTGGTTAACTTTGACTAGAGAAAATTAGGACTTGTAGATCTATTTGGTACAAAAATTGTGCATGGGGACGACATATATATAAAGTGACGTGTATATATACGTTGTCATAGTTTAAAGCATGTAGCTGGAAATTATCTTATTGTACCATGTTGTTTCATTTACTATGCCTTCCATGCCTTAGTTAGATTGATATTCCTTTATATGTTCGCTTTCGTGTTTATTTCTTATTTTGAAGTTGTTGGGTTATTGAAAGTTGAGTTTACTTATCATAACACCATGGTTGAAGTTGAAATTTGCTTCCCTCCTTGCATGATACTTTGGGTTATTAATATTGCTTGATGAGGAAGAGTGAAAAGCACGAAGGGTATTGTCGTACCATATTTGCATATTGTTATCATTGATTGACTGAATGTGAGGATTAAAGCATGAAGGGTGTTGCCGTGCACTTGATTTTATCATGTGAGGATGAGAGTAAAAGCACGGAGGGCGATGCTGTACCATTGCATTTATATTATATGGTGAAGATGAGAGTAAAAGTACGAAGAGTGATGTTGTGCCATTGCATTTATATTATATGGTGAGGATGAGAGTAAAAGAAAGAAGGGTGATGCGGTACAATTTGATGATTTCATTGCTTTACTTGATTCTCGGATTATGAATTTAGCTTGGCTGCTTGCTCATTTTGGAAGGAGATTAATTGGTGATTCTATACTTACTGTTCCAATTGTTGCTCCATTTTTTATGCCTCCACCCCATTAATCTTTTAAAATGCCTTACTTGTTATTTGTTGCTTTATATATATATATATATATATCTACACTGGTTTTAGTAGGTGTCTTATCTTAGCCTCGTCACTACATCGTCGAGGTTAGGTTCGACGCTTACTGAGTTCATTGGGTCAGTTGTACTCATACTACACTTCTGCACTTCTTATGCAGATTTTGACGTTGGTACCAGTGGAGCTCCGAGAGGCACTTAGCGGATACCAACCATTGATTTGAGGTAGAGTTGCACCCCATTCGCAGGACCTAGAGTCACTTTCCTATTTCTACTATGCTGTTTCCATTTTATTTCAGACAATGTTGAATTTCTTTTGAAACCTTGTATTTGGCTGAATCTAGACTGTAACAACCCATCTGGTCATTTTGTGTATTTGAGCCATGTTTCCCCTTTTAAGGCTTCCCGCATATGTATTTGTAGTTTTATGACTTGCGGGGATGGTTGGTTTCGCTACGGGAAGGTTTTGGAATGATTTGGATCCTTTAGTTCTTGGTTTAGAAGCTTAAGTTGGAAATATTGACCGACGTTTGACTTTTATGAAAATGATCTCGGAATAGTGCTTTGATTGCTCTGATAGGTTTGTATAGTAATTTTGGACATAGACGTATGTCCGGAAGTGAATTCAGAGGTTCCTATGTTGATTTGACTTATTTTGCTGAAAGTTGGCAATTTGAAGGTTTAACAATTCCTTAAGTTTGACCGTAGGTTGACTTTATGGTTATCGGGTTCGAATTCTGGTTTTGGGACGTAGAATAGGTCAGTTTTGTTATTTGAAACTTGTCTGCAAAATTTTGTGTCATTCCGAGTTGGTTTGATAGGAATCAGACGCTTGGTTGAGATTCTAGCGATTCTTGAGTTCATCTTGAAATTTCATGTGTTTTGATTTTCGATTCGTGGTTCCGGATAGTATTTTGGTAATATGATCGTGTGAGCGAGTTCGTACGATATTTTTAGAATTGTGTGGATTTATTATGTGGAACCTCAAGGGCTCGGGTGAGTTTCAGACGTGTTTCGGATTGATTTGAACTTGTTAGAGGTTGCTGGTGTGCTAGTGCTGCAATTACTGCAATTGCGAGCACCAGCATCGCAATTGCAAAGTTGGCAGTGGAACAAGTATCGCAATTACGACACCTTTATTGCAATTGCGAAGGTTGGCCTTTCGCTTGGTAGCTTGTATTTGCGACCAACATGCCGCATTTGCAAAAGGGACTAACATCGAAAATGCGGAGTCAGTGTCGCATTTGCGACTTTCCTTGGGCTTGTCAGGTGCTGCATTTGCGATGGAATATCCCTATTTGCGAGGGATCGCAATTGCGAACCCCAGGTCACTTTTGCGACTTCTACATCTGAACCAAAGAGCTGAAACACGAGAAATAACTTAATTTATCACATCTTAGAAGCCTAGACTCGGTAGGAGGCGATTTGGAGGAGGTATTTTCACATACAACCATTGGGTAAGCAATTTTGAAGCAATTTCAATTATATTACATGATTATTTATGAGATTTAATCTCTAATCCATGGAATTTGAAAGGAAATTTTTGGGGATTTTGTCTATGTATTAAAAAATAAAAATTTGAGATTTGAGATTCGAATTGGACTCGGATTTGAAAACAAAACACATATATGGACTCGTGGGTTATGGGTAGTCGAGATCTACCCTTGGACTCGAGCTTTGACCAGGCGGGCTCGGGATTGAATTTTGTTGACTTTTAAAGAATTGTGTAAAGATCTTAACTTTATTAATCAAAATTGGTTTCTCTTGTATTGTTTGATGATATTAAGTCATTTTTGGTTAGATTTGAGCCATGCAGATGCGAATTTTAAAGGAAAAGCCATTTTGAGTGTTTATTTTGTCTAGTTAAGGTAAATATCTTGCCTAACTTTATATGGAAAAATACCCCATAGGATTGGGTTTAATTGCACTATTTGAATTATGTGAAAGACGTGTACATGAGGTGACGAGTGTGTACACGGCCTTATATGTGGAAATTGACCGATTTAGACACTTAGGTTACTTATATGCATTTAATTGAGTTTGTTTTTACATGTTATATCTTTATTGTCGAGTTTATTCTTATAAGCATTTAATTGAAGTTGTTATTACATGTTATGTCTTTCATTGTCGAGTTTATTT